GCAAGGCCTAGAGATTTCTTTCTGAATGTGATTAATTGCAGCAGTGAATCTCTCTGCATTCCTCTCTTTCTTCCTAAAGAGGAGGATCTTTGTTAAGAGACTGTCTTGCTGCGGGAGGTGGAGACAGGAGATAAACTGAGAAATGCAGAGGCTCTGCTGTAAAGGAAACTCCTTAGTCCTGGCTTGTTCTCTGCTCCAATAGCTAGGAGAGAAGAGAAAAGGAACAGGAAGGCTCTTGGGGCTGAATGGGAAGGCTTGTCTGGCTTCCTTTGGGTTGGAAAATGTAGGGAAGGGGAAGGACTTGGAGACACAGCTTCCAGAAGTCCAGTCCTGAGATGATAATCCTAAATCTGGGATCACTGTAGGCTGATTAAGGAGCCAGAGGGGGCAGAAATATACAGGTGATGGGAGGCCTTATCAGGTTAAGGGACCAGGTAGGACCATGGCTTGCCAGCCACGGGATGCCCTTATGAGAAGGGCAGCACCCGACACCTTCAGGGCTGCCTGGCACTGCTCTCTCATCCTCAAGGCATGGAGACTTCTTGCCTGGGCTGTGGAAGGTGATGAGTTGCTAATCCAGCTTTGTCTGACTTATTACAGCCTGAATGTGGGGAAAGAGGTCAGGGCCTTTGGTGCAGGACCCTCTTGCAGCTTGCTTGGCAGTGGCTGAGCTAGAGGCAGGGGGAGCAGGGTTGGAAGAGACTTAGTGCCCTTGTCTGTGGCTGCGAGATGATCAGGAAGAGTTTGTAGCTGAAAGGAGTGGAGGGATGTTCTGAGGGATGAGCAGGCTGTCCGTGCCACGTGGGAACTGCGGCACAGCTTGGGAAACCGGTCAAGGCCAGGATGTCAAATCACTTTCTCTGCAGCTCTATATGCCCCTGGGAAGCTGGTGTTAAAGTCTGAGGAACCGTAAACCAGTAGCAGGAGAAACTCCCATGGTCGTCCCAGTGCACAGTGTGTGCTGCAGGCGATGACCAACTCGTTTGTGGCTTCCCTACTTGAGAGCAACATGTCCTTCTCCAGCTCAGATCGGTCCTGTAACTGCTGCTTTTGGACTTTAGTATTCATTTCCCTTGCACACATGAGCACCTGAGTAAAGACTTAATTAGAAAGCTGTATATGCTGGCAGAACAATCAACTTGTAAGGATTAATAATGGGAAGAAGTATGCATTAGTTATTCACTTGTGTCTCAAGTTTGCTGTTAAGTGGCATATTATATGGAGATGCTGGTGATAGGCTGTAAGTGGCCTTCAAGACAATTAAAAGAAAAACAGTTTACTATACAGAAGAATATCAGGTGGTGCTTACAGAAATCTAAGAACAAAAATGAATCGTTTGCTGTGCTCATTTGGAAATTTGCACTCAGAGGCCTAACTTTTCCACTATGGAAGTGGAGAGAGTGTAAAAGCCCCTCTCCCTCCTGCACAGCATGGTCTCAAGCTCATGGCTACTGTCCTGTCCTCTCCCTTGCTAGGCAGGTCTATGGGGCAGCAAGGGCAATTCAATATGGGTAGCACAATTAATTGAAGTCACTCTGAGGAAGTGAGCTGGAAGCTTTTGAGAACTTGCTGTAAGACTGGGCAGGTATGGAGTCCCTGCTGCCTGTGTCTTGCCTGACTTGGTGGCTGTACAGCCTTGCCATATCCTGCTCCCAGCAAATATAGTGCACGGGGTAAATCTTGGACTAGTCCTTTTGAGATTGCCTGGTGACTGCCTGTGTTGGGTAGTTCTGCTTTGTGCCTTAAGCTGTGCAGAGAGCGAGAGTCCCAGGTTGACCCTAGTTACGGATGCCTGAATGCCCAGGGAATTGAGTGCGAGCTTTTTGCTCTGCTGTCACATCAAAAGGTCTGGCAGGCTGGAGATGTGTGATGATACAGCAGCAACCACAGGAAAGAAATGAGGGAAAGGAAGAAATGTTCAGTTTAGCTGTTCTGTGGCCTTGGGCTGGGCACTCAAACCTGTGGCAAGACCTCATCCTCTAAGGGAACAGCACCTTAGTCTCCCTTGGCCTGTGCCATTCACATGGATGCCCAGCTGGCCCCAAGGCAGAGGCCATGTTGCATGTAATGGGAGAAAAATCACAGTGCTGGTCTAGTGCTGTGGCACCAATCCAGAGCACCAAGAAGAAGAAAACATATCTCCTGGTGCTGCATTACCCTGGGGACCAGACTTGACTCCCCTGGGATGGGGCCCAGAATAAGGTCTCTGGGTGGCTTATTTTGGGCAGGCGTAGTGGCTTGAGTAGCTCTTGAAAACTGCCTGCCAGATGTTGTCAATCTCTTCTCCCCTCCTTTCTGCTGGATAGTTGCCTCCACCGTTGGTTTCTCTCTGGCTCCTGATCATCTGCTTTCTGCCTTCTCCCATCCCTCTCAAATGCTCCTTTGCTGCCTGGAGCAACAGCTCCCAAAGTTCAGGTTGCCTTTCTCTCTGACCATTACACACCCTTATCCTCCAAGCTGAGGGCATGGAGGCCTTCTCCTGGCATCTCTTCCAGCAGCAGTAACAGAACTGAGTTGGCTTTTTGGCAGGGGTGCTTTCCACTGGAACTCAAAGGGCTTCAGTCCATCCCACAGCAGCTTTCAGCCTGCGCTGCAAGCTGGGCTGTCTTCATCAGCCTGCCATCTCTGTCCTGCTGCAGCATACTAGACCTTTCTGCAAAGGATCCGTGGTCTGTAAGGCAGGTAGCTTCAAATAATCCAAACCTCCAAATTTAATGGAAACCCCAGCCCCTCCTGCCACGGCAAGGGCAGCCCTCTGTGCTGTATGATGCTGCTCCTGGTGGGAGCAGGCTGCCTACAGCAGCTGGGGGCTTGTGAAGTCCTAGGCCTGTTGCCCATAATTGACGCTATCTCACTCCAGGAAGTCCTGTCAGCCGGCGCCTTTCCCACGGCCTCTGGCCTATCTCACCTTGGAGCGCTCTTGGCGAGAGCCGCTCCGCAGGCTGGCGTACGCGGCTGTGCGTGGAATAGCAAACGCTGCCTGGCATGCATCGCTTCTCGAGGTCGCTGAGGCCAGGGTGTCATTTCACAGGTTTATTTTCCAATTTCTAAAGGAACAAGCCTTTCCTATTATCCCTGAGCTGCCTGGGTTGCGATTTGGACACAAAAGCAAATTAGAGCAGGGCAGTGAACAGAGCCAAGAGACAAACCCTTCAGCCGCGGAGAGGTGCCCCGAGGACTTCCTCAACGTTATTTACTGCGTTTTCGGAGCAGGGAGCCCTGTTGCCTTAAACCCTGGATGCATGCCCAGCGAGGGGGGCCTCTCTTGCTGCACGCTGGGCTGTCTAAACCGGCGGCGGCAGGGCTTGATGTCTGTGCTCGAGGGCTCCTTTCCGCCCAACCCTGCGGCCACGTGCCCAGCTTATGCCTATGAATAAGGCCTCTGATGTCCTGCGGATCCTGCTTCTGCCTTGAGTGTTATTTGGGGCAAGGTGAAGGTGATTTGACCCCCAGCTCATGGGGGTTTGCCACACTCTTGCACCTCCATGTCCTTGAATCACCACCTCCTGGAGTCATGTGAAAGCATAAGAAAGCTTTTTTTCCCAAAAGAAAAAAAAACGCACTGAAAGAAAGCAGAGAAAAGAAAAAAAAATATATATTTTTTAAGGCTGCTGTGCCTCCGAGGTATGGGGAGAGAGGAGCAGGAGAGGGTGCCAGGATGCATGGGCTGGGAAGAGGAAACACCCCCTGGAAGTGATGCACAGGAGTTAAACAGCAGCGCTGCGTTGTTTCTGCTGGGGCTGCTTGGGCAGGAGGCCTCCGGGTCCCGGCCGAGCAGTTATTTCCTGCATCACGCCAGGCTGAAGACGTGACACGAATTGTGCCCCTTCTCTGTGCTCAGAGGCTGCGCAGGTCTGTGCCCCCTCCAAGGGGGCATTAAACTTTGATGCCCACGTTTATGTATTAAACATGTGCAAATTGGCAGCTCTGTATCAGGGCTAATTTCCCAAAGACATACATTATTAATGCACTGCCTGCAGATGTCCAAGTAAATTGCTACATGATTTTTCCTTTCCGTGGCGATTAGCGAAGCGGAGCGTTATCCTAAGCCCTGGGCCTCGTTGCTGGCGCAGGTTTTACAGGCGGTTGCTTCTGCACAGGTGTTTCCTGCGAGCTCGGGTTGTTTGGCGTCAATAATACCCGTTTCCTTGCAGGGAGGTAGGAGATGTTTTTTGGCCCGCTGAAGCAGCCCCGGAGG